TTCCGTGAGATGGCACTTTTAAACATTTATACTTGCTGACGAAGAAGAAAATTGTTTTGACAAAACACAAAAAATTTTTTTTAAAAGTAAAATAACAATTTTTTCATCGTTAAAATGATGAAAAATTGTGGTTTTCAAAAAAATATTGAACCTATATTAACTAGATTGTACAAAGTATCTTTCATTTCACTTCGTGTGTTTTTTGTTACTTCCATTTAATTTTATTCATAAAATTGAATTTAAAACATTTAATACGGATTAGGGTTGTCCCGGCAAATTTTTAACACCTATGTGGACTTTAAACATTTAAAAATGACTGGTAAATTGTTTAAAAAACAAGCGTTCCCAAACACCCGACATCTTTCACAGCTAAAGTAGACCCTAAACTGCATTTTTGAAGAAAAAAATTGTCGCAAATTTTGTTGATTTTGCATAAATTTGGACATTTAGTTAAAAGTTACCGATATTTCTGGAGAAAAAAAAATGAAAAAATCACTACTGGACAAATTCGAATTTGGGTAAACTGGAAATATCGAATGATTAAAAAGGAAGTTTAAGATAAATTTGAACTCTTAAATTCGACATATTTTTAAAAAAAAACATTTTATTTTTCTGAACAGCCATATAAATCCTTGTCTGTCTCAACTAACCAAATGTTCCTTTTCGGAAGTGGAAAAAATCGTTTATTTGTGACTACCTGCACGGATAAAAATACTTCACTCGTAAGAAGGACTCCACACAGAGATATTCTTGTCTAACAGATGTTTCAACCTATGGAGTCTTTGAGTAGGTGATTTTTACTTCAAATAACACCAAATTATCTGAAAATCGGCTGCAATTTTTTTGCATAAGCTCCAAATTTGACTGCCTACTCTGCGATTACCATGGCTACCCAATTAAAACCTTTGTGCGAGTTAGTTTAAACGCCAGGACAAAGGCGATTGGTTGCTTTGAAAATCGATACTCCAACAGCCTTGATTGACTTATCTTGGCAGCCGTTTGAATTCAAATGTGTCAGTAATGTCCAGATTTTCAGACTATTAAACTTAGATGCAAATTATCTCCTTTTAATTAAACTTTTGATTTTAGATTTCCTTTCACCTCCATTAAATTCTGCAAATTGAAAATTTGAAAAATTTTGCACACTTTCACACGCAAACCACCTTACTAAATTAAAATCGCTATTTTGAAAATCCAGAAGCAAAAATATATTGTTTTTGTCAGGCGGATACTTGCCGCTAAGAAACCGCGCACCACTCTAACGAATTACCTTTGCCACCGAAACTGCCTCGCAGTAATTCACAAAAGTATATTAAAACAAATAAATTTGTCGTGCGCGCGAATACCTATGCAGTGGAATGGCAGGATGTTGCTGCGTGCTCATTGAACGTCTGACACTGCCGCTGATTTTAAATTCATTGGTTAATCAATAAACTTAAGTGAGTGGGTTCTTTAACACCAAAAATCGATACCTAAGTATGCAATACATCAAATGATAAGTTGTGGATAGAAAAGTTTGCGAAATTTTTGAGGAAAAAGCAAAATCAACATTCAGACACCAGCCACACGCTCATTGGTGTAGAAGAAACTCAGTTGACTCGCCTCGACCTTCAGCTAACCAATCATTTTAAGCGCACATCATCGGGTCAAAAGAGGACGATAATGTGCGAAATGGAGTTCTGAAATGTCGAAAAATTTTGAAAAAAACTACTTGGAACCAGTTGTGAAGGGATTGAGGGGGCGGATTCTCGTAGTTGGTTGCCAAAACATTTTCGACCAGCCGGTGGTCGGCTTGATGCCACCCACGTCAAAGCCAGTGTCACCCTTGCATGGATGGTAAATTATTTTAAGTCAGTCTCATTAAAATCGATTAATCGACAAAAATATGGTTCTGCTAATCCACCACATTAAAGCAAACATTTATAACATAGGAGAAAAAGAGATATTCGTTTATCACATGTATTCATCCTTATACTTTTTGATATACTTTGCAGATGAAAAAATGGGGAAAAACAATCCCAAAACCATTGAACATTAATGAATTTGACATTAATTGTCTTATCTGAAACAAATTTTTAAAAAACGGATGGTTTTTTTAAATAGATTAGTGAACTCATCAAATTTATCAACAGATCTCTAGACCGATATTTCCTCAATCTAATGCACGCGAAATCACTTAAATCTCGCTAGCTGACTCCAGCGATACCAGTTAATGTTGTCGTTCATATCTTAGAACTCATCAGCTAGTGATCTGGTTGATCACTTTAAAAAAATGTCTGAGTTTTTAGCTGTCGGCTGCCATGGTAACGTCAACAAAATCACCCAAACAAACGAAGTGATCCCTAGGTCAACTCATTTTTCATTAATGGCTCGCCAGATAAATATGATTGGCTTTGAGTCTTTGGATTAATCGATGAAATTCGGGTGGGCCGCACTTCAATTTCGGACAGAAAAAACATGATTGGTCAGGTGAAGGACATCGCGGACGAATCGAATTTGTGAAGCATCAATGAGCGCACACTTGGTGTTGGGAAGCTGGTGTTTAAGGCAACACATTTTCAAAAATCTGTTTATCAAGGAAGTAAAACTAATCGTAAAAATATCCTCATTCTTGCCAACAAAGGACAGCAAAATAATTCGTAAAAAATTGGCGGTTTGCGTGTGGAGTGGGAGGCTATTAATACCGTCGCCCGTGGTGCAATGCTTTCGTTTGGGTTCGTCTTAAGTCGAGCGCTGTTTATTTTGATTAAACTAAACGAAACTATTCTTTTTACGATTTAATCTGCTCGTGACTCAATTTCAGACAAATATGGGATCTCTATCATCAACATCTACATGGTGTCACATAACAACAGCGATCAAATCGGCGACCTTGAGGGCAGTTCACTTATTGGTTAATGTTAACACGAAGAATAAATCGAGATTTGCCGACTCTAGTTTTAACGCTCGAAATAACATCACCGTTAACGCGTAATTAAATCGCAAATTAAAGCTTACACGGTTTTGCATCCGTGTTGCATCTGGATAATGAAGAAAAATTAAAATGAATTTCGACAAAACAGAGAATCCCATTGATTTAAACAAAACAGGGAGCTGCTTTTGAGAAGAATGTGGCGGACGGCATTTTGCGTCGTGCAAAGTCGGGCTTTTTTGGATTAGCCTGACCTTGGATTGACCAGTAGGAGGTCAGAAAATGTGCGCCTATCAGACGTTTCTATTGGCCTATAATTAAATCAAACAAGCGTTCGGAAATCAAACAATAATTACATTGATTTCGACTAAAGTTTGCATAAATGTGTTTAACATCGAATTTCGATCTGGCAACAGGACAGGCATTTTGTAACTTTGAAATTTAGAAGCCGCGCTGTCAAGAGCTGTGTAAGCTTCATCACAAAAATCGATTTAAAATTTGTTTGAACTAGGAACAATTGATTGGTTCGTTTCAAGTTCAGACGGTTTCCAAAGCAACGTAGTGTCTTGGAACATAAAAATGGATTTTTTTTTCAATTAAGCCACGTCGAACGGCCAGCTTCTAAATCGATTTATCAGACCCTCATTTAGTTAAAATGGAAACATCAATTATCCATCCATTTCACTGATTCTATCTGTGGCGGTAACAGCACATCTTGTGAACTCTAAGAACTACAAGCTTTACTGCTACTCATACCTGTTTAGTACCATGTTTTTGGTTGTCAAGTAAAGAACACATCAATGAGGTCAATGAAACAAATGTTGCCAGATTCAGATCCCAACGCAGTCTGCATTTCGGCATTTAACCTTGACCTGGCAGCGGTGAGTGTGCTGTGACTAGCAGGACAATTAGTTTTAAAAAGTGTCGATCGATTCCTTGTGGTTATGGTATATTTCGAAAAAAAAACGTACAAAGTACCAGGTTTCCTCACGTTAGCGCTTTATGAGTGTCCCCCCAGACTGATTAATTTCACCTTGTTCACCGTTAAAGTAAACCATTCGACGTCTGATTGTTAATTTAAATAAATTTCGTTTGGAGGAAGATTTGTAAGCACGGCGGTTGTTTATACAGAAAATTCAGACAGTAACTCGGCCGTCAGTTTTTTGTCTACCCTTGCCTGGATTTCAGGTTACGTGACACCGCGGCCATATTCTTACCATGATCGCACTGCCAGACGTAAATTTTCTATTGGTCAGTATTCTCAGACGTGACCTTCTAAAAATCAATTATTTTAAGGTCAAATAAATTTCGTAAAGCTGAGGATTAAAAGTAGGCGTCTGTAGAGATGAATTGTGGTTCACGGTCTTCGAAAACAGAGCCATTGGTAGCCTAATAGAGTGCCTACATTGTGATCGACCGACAGTGATGAGGGAATGGATCTACTTGCAGACTTTTCAATGGTAGCCATCTTCGGAGTTTTTTTAGGAAAAATCAAGGTTTAAAAATTCAGTGGTGCATCAAACGTCTTTTTAAATGTTTTCCCTAATTAACCATCCTTTCAGAAACTGCGACATAACTTCAACAGTTTCGCTTCAGAATCTGAAACAGTGGTGGCGTGAGATAGCAGAAAATCGATAAACCTCCAAGCCACATAATCGATACTGTCGTGAACGTTGGTCAGCTGACCAATCACGAGCGGCTTCTCCACCGACGCAGCTACGGTAATACCGTTTGCGAACCACTCATCGCGGTGCTTCGAAAAACTCTTTTTGAAGGCCCATAACTAGCTGTTAAGCCAGGCGATACGGTGTTGAATCAGCCCACTACCGCAACCGATTCCCAACCGTGTAAAAACAATAAGCTACCAAAAAATGTTTTGCTATTTAGACTGGAAGCAGACGCGACATGTTGTAGACGTTATTGGCACGCGTTGGTTTGCCTTGGTTTTTAGGAATTCTTTAGTGAAATCGGCATAGAGACCATTTTCACCTCGGTCAAATGCTCCAGAGCGTATTTTGACCTGAAATGCAAAATAACCATGTTTTTAAAGACTGCGGACATGGGGGTGTGGGTGTCGTTCAAGGTCAACTCACATCTCTCTTCCGATGCCGGAACGCTTGAATCCACCGAATGGGGCACCGATGTTTACGACCATGTAACTGTTGATCCTACAGAAAGTCAAATTGGGATTTATTCGCAACAGACGGGCGGACAATTAGACTAGATCTTTATGTTTGAACAGATGAGGACATTAGAAGTATATTTTCGGCACTTTTTCTGCAACTTACCAGACACAACCAGCCTGAAGAGATTGTGCCACACGCATCGCCTTGTCCATGTCGCTGGTGAAGACACCACCACCTAGTCCGTAGTCGGAGCTGTTGGCGCGTCGAATGACCTCTTCCAGAGTTGAGAAACGAAGGATACTCTGAACCGGACCGAAGATTTCCTCGCGCGCAATAGTCATGTCGTCGGTGACATCGGCGAAGACAGTGGGCTGGATGAAGTAGCCTCTGTCACCGACGCGTTCACCACCGGTGACCAGACGAGCACCCTCCTTCCTGCCCATCTCAATGTACTTCATCACCCGGTCGAACTGCAATTGGCTCACCTGGAAACATGCAGATACCGCGTACGAAAATGCGAGTGAGTCGAGTAAAAACGCGTGCAATTTCAAGTACCTGTGGTCCTTGAACAGTGGCTGGGTCGAAGGGATCTCCAACTCGGCGTTCCTCAGCCAGCTCCTTCAGTCGCTGCACCATCCGGTCGTAGATTTCGTCCTGTACGAATGCTCGCGATGAACCCACACACACTTGTCCGGCGTTCGCCATTATGGTCTCATGGGCTGTCCGAGCAGCTTTTTCAACTAAAGCGAACCAACTCCTAATTCACATCAGATCGCGAGGCCTGTGCACGCATCTTATGACACATCGCCCTAACGATTCCGAGTTATTCAAAAGTGCGTAGACGGTAGGGAAAGTCAACGACGACGTTCATGGTTGCATTAGCGCGACCAGTGTTGATGCCAGTAGAGGAAGAAGCTAACTTACAGTCGGCATCGGCGAAGATGATGAGAGCCGATTTGCCACCGAGTTCCAGTCCAACGCGCTTTGTAGTTTCTGCAGCAGTCGCCTGGATGAACTTCCCAACGGCTGTGCTGCCCGTGAAGGAGATGGAATTCACCAGAGGATGGCGGATCAGCGCCGCGCCCGCTGTTGCACCGAATCCCGGAACTATATTCACGACGCCAGGAGGAAAGCCTGTGTAGGTAAAATGACTCCATCAGCGTAAAGTTAAGGAAAAAAAACACTCGAATTTGATGTCATCACGAAAAATGGCAATCGTTCGCTAGAGCCTAACTTCATCTCAATCTCTCTCTTACCAACTTGTTGGAATAAGGAGGCCAGGAAGATGGCGGTCAGTGGAGTGTTCTCAGCTGGTTTCGCAACTACGGTGCAGCCAACGCACAGAGCAGCGGTGATCTTTTGCATGCATAGGAAAAACGGAAAATTCCAGGGTGTGATGATGGCCACCACTCCAACCGGTTCATGACGAGTCCAGCAGATGGAGTTGCCATCAACTGGGATCACTTTTCCGTGTGTCTTGTCCGCGTAGCCGGCGAAGTAGCGAGCACCTTTTATAGCCATTGCAACATCAACTTTGGCATCGCCGACAGGCTTTCCGACGTCCAGGGACTCTAGATGCTGAAAAGTGTAAAAAAGGATCCATTTTTCTTTAACAAAGCCTTTAACTTCCACGCTGAATGACGACACCCTGGAACACCTTATTGTGGACATCGTGGAACTGCATTTACCATGAAATTTTGCTGGATGACTGCAACAGCTGGAAGCTGGATATACCTCGAAAGGCAGATCACTCGGACTTACGGCAATGTAGCCCGCATTCTTTTCAATGAGGTCGGCCAGCTCGTAGAGGAGGCGTCCACGTTTGGAGGCATCCATAGTGCGCCACACCGAGTCTACCTCGAAGGCCTTTGCGGCTGCCTTCACAGCCAGGTCGATGTCGGCGGCATCGCCCTCTTGAACGCGGCAAATGATCTCCTGCGTCGCAGGATCCTGCACCTCGAATGTCTTCCCCGACTTGCTATTCACGAATTCGTTGTTGATGAAAAGCTTGACAATAGAGAGACAGTCTTAATTGAGTTAACGAGTGGAAAGGTAAAATTTGGAGTAATTGTGGGAGTTCACAAGGTCCTTTATAATAAAAAAAACATTTGCGCATCCCGATCTTTTGTGAGACACGTACCTGGGTATACTTCACCTCAGGACGCTGCATTATCCTTGGAAATCCGCACACAAAACAAGCTGCACCCTCGGCCCTCAAAGTATTAATAGGCATTGGTGAAGTCGCGACACCCAATCACACAGCTCAGTGAACCTCGAGAGGGAAAGCTGATTGGTGAACGTGCAACCAATCATGTGCGTGCACCGAGGCTTTGTCTACCGAGCCACAGTCTGCAGCCTGATTGATTTTGTGGTATTCGGGATTCGTTGTAAAACTGCTTCGGATTTAAAACTCATAGATTTGTATCAAGGTTTATTTGTAGTTCGGTTCACATGGCATACACTCCACTTAAAAAATGCAAAGAGGATTGCCTAGTTTGTGCCAAGTTTGTGGATACGGATTGGTGGCATCCGGGTTTGAATAAGAGCCTCATCCACAAACTAATGGCTTTTATTAGCTCAGTTGCACAGCTTCACTGTGATTAGTTGATGATGTCTAGTTTGGTGTAAAATCTGGATAACAGTTGTACGAGAATCGTTCCATTTGGAATAAAGACAAGACGAGTGCGATTCCTGGGTAATTCAGTTCACGGTTAAACACATGGACGGTAAAATGGTTGTCATCGATTCCCGATGAAGGTGATTTCGACCGAGTTATTACATTTTGGCTTAGAATGGTAGTCAAGGCGACATTCGAAACCTTGTAAATCAGTTGTTTACAATCGGCGAATGTAAGACCACATTTTTACGTCCTGGCACAATTTGTATCTCATGCTCGGGTCCACATTGTGGCCAAAAATTCGAAACAAACTTAATCGATCAAAATGGAGAGTAGAAGTGCCAAATTTGGAGTGAAAAATGACTTCTAAAAGTGTACAGAGCACACCATTCGATAGCATGCATGAATTTTGGGCCTAAATTAGTATTTTCTGGAAATTGATTAAATTTTATTCTGGGGATTCCTACAAGGTTGACGGCGACTGGGTTAAATCGTAGTTGCGCTATTGTCAAGTTCCATGCGGCGTTCCATAAAGTGCCACTTTCAAGTCTACACACTCCAATTAACGCAGAAACAAAGACTGGCTACCCCTTTTCACAAGCATGACTCAGACTAGACGCTGTCAAACAACAAAGCCAAATTGTCTAGCACATCAAAGCCCGTCCCACCAACCAATCACATTCATCCGTTTTTCGTGGGTGAGGTAGTAGTTTTTGGCACCGGCGTACATTGCATGCAACGAGCATGCTAGATCGATCAGGTACCTGGATGGCTACTCTTTATCTCATTGGTTAATGGTTAAGTGAGTTGTATCGCTCACCTGAGCCCATGTTTGGACAAGATTCTGTTGATTACTCAGGCGTCAGGCGGTGTTTATCAGTGGTACATTAAAAGCTGACCTAAAAAGTTTTACTTTGTTTTTTTTTCAATTTTGATTAAGCAAATGCCGTTTCACAATTTTCTCTGAGCTTTCGGAAAGGACAGTTTGACCTCTCAAATGCTTCCGATGAAATTGTCCTTGTGTGTGATTGGTTGAATGGGTTCAGACATAAAATCAGTAAACCATTACACCAGTAGGACAGAAATTCATGAAATTTGTGTGGCGTCGTAATCACTGTGCCCAGTGGATATTGTTTTTTAATATCTTATAGTAGTATCTATATAGCTACCACCAAATGTCAAACGAAAAAAATCGGTCAAAATCAGCAGATCATCGACTAACTTGCAGAATCTTAATCAAAGGATTCTGATCTCTTGAAGAGGAATATAACACCTTGTCATACGACCATTTGAAGCAAATACGGCTAATTTTGAAAGTTAACCAATTATTACATTTGCCATGTGAATCCCTTTGCTCTAGTTTTCTGGTTCTTGTTGTACCATTACCGGGAATTAGAACATTTTTGACAAGAGCTAAAAATTAGGTAAGTTCGTGAAAGACTGTCAGCCAACGTCGAGTTAAGCCTGACGGTGTTAGTGAACAACCTGGATTTAGGAATTCGATGATGACCAAACATCGTATCGCCCTTTCGTGAGTCCGTTTCAGTTCGTAGCACAGTGCTGGACCTTGGGATATTCGCTAAATCTGAGGAATCTTAGATGAAAAACCAGCGTTAAATTTCCAAACATTTGTTTTAAAAAAATTTGCTTCTGATCTCGTGAAACAGGACGCAGTGTGAAATTTTAAAATTGCCCTTTTTTTATTAATGGGAATTGCGAATTCGCCTCCACAACTGTGCCATGCCACTAATAGCCGCTTTTGAGTGAACTGCGCTCATTGTAAAATCGATCGATTAGCTCGAATGCGTATCGATTTTTCAGCCAGAAGCTGCCATTTGCACAGCGAAGTCGCCTTCCCGAGTCACTCACTGCAAAATCAACCACACAGACAAAGTATATTGATGACGGTTTTTTCTCAAAAGCTGTCGTTTGCACACATGACGATCACCTCGCCTTTTCAAGAACGGATCAGCAGTTCTGTTTCTGTGAATTTGATGCTTTGCTGGACAGGAGAATATGTAAAATATATCCATTTTGAGGGATCAAAATACTCCACAGGTAATCAACCAAATGTGTTACAATGGTCAAAGTGTTGCGACGCTAAACCGAGATCAGAGAATTAAAGAGCTCATGTCCACGTTACAATCGACTTCAACATGGGCCTACCTACGTATACTTAATGACTGGACGTCGCATCGTTGGATGAACACCAAATATTACCTAAATATGACGTGTGAGCAGGAGTCTAACCTAAGATTGAGAGCAGATTAGCTGAGGGACAGCACACAAGTCGAATTCCCTCGCAGGCATTCAAATCCTAGCAAATGACAAAGACGGTAGACTTCCAGAAAGTATTACTTCGGGATGCGACTACTAGAAACGAGAAGGCATAGTGGTTTAGTGGATGTCGCCTCGAGATTCACGAATGTTCGGTCAAATGCATGCACCAATGGTTGGGTAAGTCTACAAAGGTGCATATGTGAAATGACATAGCTCCCCTTCAGTGCGAGTGAGGGGGTTGGGTAGTGTGTGTGGATGTGGGTGTGATTTCGACAGTGTGGTGGAATTGGATGTCTGAATCCATGTTTGAATCGGTTGAAGTGTACTCTAGGATGGAAGGCGAACAGGTAGGAGGCGGGGTGGATGTTGTAGGTGTTGTTGGTGGGTCATTCGAGTAGTTGCTGCGGTTGTGGTAAGGTTGGTGGAGCCACACCGATTCCCCTGGTTTGCAGGGAGCTTCTTGCACACCATCAAACCCCGAGAACAAAGACAAGATAGGCCACAGCGGCCACCCAAGTGTCTTTGAACGCAACTGCTCACAGGAGCCAATGAAAGTGAGGTGAGTCATTGGTACAATCGGGACAAACGGACATCGGGTCTCAGGGTGGGCCACAACGGGAGGTAGGGCAGGGTGGGGATGCGAGAGAGGGTGTTGTAAGTTCGTCGTTCTTCAAAATATCAAGAGATCTACTTTTGTCAATTGTGAAAAATTTGTCGGCGAGTTCTACCATCATCACCAGGCGGACGCAGAGTTAAACCAAATGCGAATTCTGCTGGTTTAGAGTTGTGGAAGACTATTAAGATCAACGATAGCGAGTCGGCCCAGTGATTCGGCTTTTGGTTGATGCTTGATGTAAACTGTCGATTGCATTAGCTCAATTTAGCCATCGGATGCTGCTGCGTAGCACGAAACTGTTTGCATCCAAGCAGGTGGTTTGAATCCTGCCGCAAACGCGATGTGATTTGTGTTTTGCGATCGGATTTAGTAGAAGTGCAACCATCGATTTCACAAATATGTGGCCAGCAGTTTCGATTGCACTGTCTTTAATGGTGACTGCAATTGGCCGACGGGAAAAACGGTCCACACACGTCAGGACATAGGTGGAACCACGAGATGCCGCAAGAGGTCCAACTAAATCAATACGTACATGTCGGAAACGCGCGTCTTGGAGGGGATATTTTCCATGTTGGGAAATACTCCCCCGGTGGACATTGGTGCATAGACATTAAATGCGGAGGTTAGCCTATAACCAGACATCTTTACGGACGCTTCGCCAAACAAAACTATTTGTTAGCGAGTGCTTTTTAAATTGAGGTTTACCGATTGACAAATCACACCTAAATTTCGTGGATCAGTGGGGAAGTGGCAACACTTCCGGCTGTAGACTCAGATTTCGTCGAAACTGTCGCTGTTCAAAGTCATTCGTCTGTGCCGCTGCCAACAGTTCAAGATCGATACCAGGAACGGCAAAAATGTTATCAGTCTCATCAACGTGGCGAAGTCTTCTGTGGACCATTGGAAAGGAATGATAATGGCTCAGTATGACCGACCAGTTCTTGTTGAAGAACTGCACCTGATCGTAAGACAAGTCTCAATTCCTTCTTCAGGTAGCATAATTATATGACATCTGCGATGACTTGAAATGCAGCTTCAGCCTCCTGAGTAATCGTTGGCTTCTTGGGATTCCTTTGAGGCAAGTCAGTCAGTGGAGACAGCATTTCAGCGGCATGTAGAACCACGGAAACGGCGAATGCTACAGGGTGATTGTGGTGTTAGATACTCCCTGGATACTCGCTGTTGTTTTCTGCTGTCAAAAGGCTCATATCATCTGCGACAATTTGATAGCCAAGAAACTTGACTTCTCGCAAGTGCAGAATTGTTCGCTGTAGTCCTTGCTAGCGATGAGAACATCATCAATGTAGACAAAGACGAAGTCTAGACCTCGACAGACTATCTATGAATCTCTGAAAGCCTGTGCTGTCTTACACAAATCAAAAAGGCAGTTGGTAGAACTCAAGTCGGCTGAATGGAGTAATAACGGTTGTTTAGGGGGCGTCTTCAAGAGCAACAGGTATCTGATGATTGGCTCGGATATGGTCTAGTCTTGGAAAGACTTTAGCTCCGTTTAAACCCAAGAAAAAATCGTGGTGGGTCAGCTACATACTCGGAAACACACATTTTTCGTGCTGTCGGTGTGAAGGTGCCATAACATCGTCTGGTAACCGTAACCGATGTCCGAAAGTCATTTCAGCTGGAGACGTACCCGTGGAGGAGCTCAAGACAGATCCTAACTATTCCCCTGAGGTTGACATGCCGTGGTGAGGCTGCTACGGACCCCTAACACCGTACCCCGTAGTTCCATGCAACCCATCCTGCCATGAAACCCTTTGCCACAGACACGGATTCGAGTAGTCGACCATGACAAGGAGATAACGGCAGCCGCTTGCCGATTGAGGGGGAGTGGCCCCATGGCGTCTAACCCAACTAATTCATTCGGGAGTTCCTGCTGTCGTGGGTTAGAATTGTGCTCTAGCCCACATCGGTGGCAGTTTGCGCAAATGTCGGTGATATTATTTCCCATGGCATGCCACCAGGCTACTCAATTTTACGAGGTAGTGTTTGTTTTGAGTTTATTTAAACTTGGTCAGTAGGAATGAGTGCAGAACATCGGAATTCATTTTTAGAACATTTTTCAAAACTGTTTGAACTGTTTAACCACACTAAGGCGTGCTGATGCACCGGCCTGAACCGATGTTAGTTGGAAGGGGGCCAAGTCTGGTGAATTTGCCGCTCGTTGTGGGAGAACTTCCCATCCCAAGTTCAAGAGGGCCTTCTGAGTCGCGCACGAGCTACTTGCGGTGGTCGAGCATCGTCATACGGCAGCAGTGCGATGTGCTTGCTTCCTTGCCCAGTAAATGACCTTTTCTGATCTCTGGTCTCTTTGTTCAGTTTGTTCAATTGTCGGCTGCGGCGTTGCGTAGTCACCGTTCGTAATAAGATCCATCCTTCACACAGAGGAGAACCTTCTTCCTCAAGCAGATGCCCTATTTCGGCGTCGATGTACTGAGCCGTTGCCCATGATCTAACCACGACGTTTACATTTGGGATTCTCGTAAAAAATGTACTCTCCATCACTCCTCACAATTTTCTACAAGTCCCTTCACCGCCTCCGATTAAGCCCTGCTGCCGAACGCAATGGCGTGTCCGGAGTAGTCAGGGTGTACTTGCAAAAGTACTCGCCCAATTGCCCCACTCGACGCATCGGTGTCCAAAATGCACGAGGGATGGTCCATCTCGAAATTGGGAAGGGCAAAGACCTGGGCTTCAACCGAGAGGGGTTTGAGCCTGCTGGCATCGTCCCGTCCTTTTGAAGGGGAGGCATAATGTGCCCAAAGCGCTTGATGAACCTACTACGATATGTCGCTAATCCTAGAAAACAGCGCAATTCTTCCGAGTAATTTGGAGTCAGCCATGTTTTAGCGACGTATAAAGGCGAAGACATATTGGATTATGCCGGATTCAGCCAATCCTCTATCGCTTTGCGTTCCGATGGCATGCGGCCAGCCAGAGACGGACACGAATGAGAAGCGGTATACAATGAGCGGCGCGGCCAGCGTGGTGGACCCCGATGGACGGTGTCTGTCGGATGAGTCTGGCTTATGAATGGCCAACAAAGCCTGTTGTGTTGTACCATTCTTCTTTACATTAGGGCTAGGATATTCTACAAGGTTTTGGTATAAGGCTCAGGCATTTTTTATCACACCAATCTCAACCAAGGCCGTGTTGAGTAAGAGCAGCAGCCAATCGCGGAAAAGGATGGGTGAAACGCAAATCGATTGAGGTAAACTCGGATGGTCGGCGTCTGACTGACAATTCTGGCTAGCGGCTGGTCGATAGTCTGCTCTGTACTGCCTGTCTTCTTCATACTAGGCGTCGAATATTCAACAATTAAACCCTAATCCTCAAACTATTCTAGCCAATCATAGCCACTGCCTCGTCCAATGAGCAAATTGTAAGAGGCGCCCAGCGAGAACGTAGATTAAAACAACAGGTAAATCAAGAATGCCATGGTGCGTGATGCAATCACGAAACACTTCGACAAGCGTGCTTAATATTTGGAAGTTGTCGGATGCTGGTTGCTAGAAATTTCACCGAATTCCCACCAAACAAGACCACAGACAAAAAAAGGTAAAAATTATCTCGTGAAAAAGACGTCTTGATGAAACCAAATTATCGTGATAATGACGATGATGACGGTCGGCATTTTCTAAGAATTCTTCACTGAAATCGGCATGGAGACGGTCTTCACCTCCGTGTAGAACTTGAGTCCATCCTTGCCTCTGTTGGAAACAAAAAACGGCGATTCTAAATTTCCCGAAAGAGCTAAATCGTTTTGACAGCTAACCCAAGCGTAATTTTGTATATCTCTGGCGGTGTTTGCACTGGGAGCTGTAATTTGGCGAGCAGTTGTCGAAACCGCAAAAGTAGCCCAGACAATGGGGGTTTATCTTAAGTGGACACGCGTCAGCAGAGACTACGGACGTGAACGGACACGATCCCCAGAATGATTCAGCAATTTTTTTCTGGGTTAACGAGTGACCAATTAACTTACTGCTCTCTGCCCATTCCTGAGGATTTGTAGCCTCCAAAGGGCTGCATTGGCGGTGAGGAGTTGTAGCTGTTTATCCTGAAAAAAGGAACAGAGTGAGTGTTGGAGGCTTTCGTAACACCCCACAGCGTCGATATCGATCAAGCCACCTCACCAAACAGTTCCCGCTTCGAGGGCCTGGGAGACACGCATGGCCTTGTCCATGTCGTTGGTGAAGACGCCAGCGCCAAGGCCGTAGTGTGAGGCGTTGGCGCGGTCGATCACCTCATCAAGGGAGACGAACTTAAGCACCACCTGAACCGGACCGAAGATCTCCTCTCGCGCGATCCGCATGTCTTCGGTGACGTCGGCGAAGACGGTGGGGGCGATGAAGTAGCCCTGGGTGCCCTGTCGATGCCCTCCGGCCACAAGTCGAGCCCCGTCCTCGCGACCCGACTCAATGTAGCGCATCACCGTGTCGAACTGGGTCTGGTTTATCTGTCAATATTGAGCGAGTGGTGTAGAGGCGCTCGATCTTGTCAGCCAAGAAGTCTGATTAATGCATTCACGGAGACACGCACACGCGTTAAAACACACCACACGCACTCGAACACACACACACACACATCCACAAACATATAAGCACACGCTTACAGACACTTACGCACACACAGGCATTCATACACATGCATTTACACGCATATTCACATGCAAAAACAGATGAAACACGCGCAGACACACACACATCCACGCATTCACATGCACATACACACACTCACACACCCAAACACATACACACAAACGCAAGCTCACACATGAACACACACGCATGCGGACACTTACGCAAATACACACGCATGAACTCACACCCTACACACATATTCACACACAAAAACACACTACACACGCGCGGACGCATTCACATACACACACTCACACACCCAAACACACACGCAAACGCAAGCTCACACATGAACACACATTTACACATTCACGCACATGAACACACATACACAGACGCACGCGCTCACACATTCAAACACACGCATGAACCCACACCCTAATTTATAATTTCATAATAAAATGTTTGCTGTTAATCGACTGAACGAGAGGATAAATAAAAAAAGAGGCAGCGACGGGACTCGAACAAGGAGGCACCAGCACACCAGCATCACTAACAAACTCAAAGATGGCTCCGTGAATGGACATTCCAAGCTACAGCTTGTTGAAGTCAACACAATAGGAGTGGCATCGGATTAGATTCCAATCACCTACCTGTGGTCCCTGGTCGACGCCAGGCGTAAAGGGGTCGCCGACAGTGCGTTTTTCGGCTAGTCGACGGAAGCGTTCAACCATCTCCTCGTAGATGCCCTCATCAACGTAGGTCCGCGATGCCGCGACGCAACACTGGCCGGCGTTGCACATCACCTCCTCGAACGCCACCTCCGCTGCCTTGTCAACTTGACGCACATGGAAAGGAAACAGCAGGCATGATTACCCGAGACCAGAGACCAATAAAAACGCATCCCCTTAGCACTAAACTGATGCGAACTCCTGATAGCACCGAAGCACTTACGATCGGCGTCGGCGAAAATGATCAGCGGCGACTTGCCGCCAAGCTCGAGGTTGACGCGTTTACAGGTGACTGCAGCGGCCTCCATTATCGACCTGCCCACAGCGGTGCTGCCAGTGAAACTCACCGCGTTCACGTCGGGGTGGCGTGCCAAGGCAGCGCCTGCTGTCTCCCCAAAGCCTGCGACAATGTTGACCACGCCAGGCGGGAAGCCTGCCAAAACAGCGGCAAGTGAGAATCGAGCAAGAATTTGTGAATGTGGATGACTTTGGCAAGGTCAACTCACCCACTTCCTTAATCAGTTGTCCCAAAAATAGAGTGCTAAGTGGGGTCTCTTCAGCAGGTTTCAAGACCACAGAACACCCACAGCACAGGGCTGCAGCCATCTTCAGGGACATCGTATCGATGGGATAGTTCCACGGGACGATAGCACCAACAACCCCGACTGGCTCGTGTCGTGTGTAGCAAACGACGTCGCCATTGCACGGAATCACCTAAATACCAGCAGATTTGATATTCAATGCGAAGCTACTGAATAAAATCTTATTTCAAACAGACCAAAACTGTTGACTTGACCATCTACCAAGGATGTACTTTTGTGAGGTCAAGTCCAACTTTGTTTAGCTGACATGATGTCGTTTCACCGACTAGCGTTCTACCGCGTGTACTTCCATATGAAAATGATGGTGGTCATGGTTGAACATAGCAAAACTTGCTAACTACAAATTGTCTGGTATTTTACGGAGCTGAGAAAGTAAATCATACGTAGTGAATCGTGTTGATTCATGTCCAATAACCCAGTCGTCACAGCTTCCAACACACGTCCCCCCTTTTCACGGAGTGCCCGTCAGTCATGTGGGGCCACCGGTTCATTAACTCCTCTGCATGTACTACCACCACCACCCGCTTTAGTCATGTGACCTCACAGACACCTGTGTTCATTTTTACACGTCCACTCAACTGTATCAGTAAAAACACGCAATTTTGTTGAGCTATGTGGTAAACTGTTGTGCCTGCCATCTCAGGACTTATTTTCTTCGTGTGGTAAAGGGCCTTAACAAATTGGCGACCCCGACGCATGCTTACTTTGCCGTGAACTTTATCCGCATAGCCGGCGTAGTAGCGAAATGTGTCAATGGCGAATTCGATGTCACCTCTAGCCGACTCAACAGGTTTACCAGCGTCCATAGCCTCAAGGGCGGTTAGATAGTCGATGTTTTTTGACATTGCGTCAGAAAGCTCGTAGAGAAGGCGACCGCGTCTCGAAGCATCCATGGTTCGCCAGGGTGAATTCCGTGCGAAGGCTTTTTTGGCGGCTTTCACGGCCAGATCGATGTCGGCTGCATCGCCTTCTTCAACGTGACAAATTACCTTCTCATTCGAAGGATCGACTACGGGAAAGCGTTTTCCGGAACAACTGTTGACAAATTCGTTGTTGATAAAAAGCTAAAATAAGAACATAGGGCAACATAGAGAGCAACTAAACTGTGCCTTTTTTCAAAAAAAAATTATTTTTGGAATATACGGTAATGTAGTTCGACAGCAAGCTACAAAATAAGATGTGGAAAATTGAAGACAGGGGGTCGTTCGGAAACCACGGATACCACAATAAGGCACCAAAGCATAACTCTACCAGAAAAGCACAGCAACAAAGCTTAAATGATGTATCTTTTATTAAAATGTCGCTATATATGACGTTTGGAAACCACAATACTAATAATATTCCAAAAAGAATCTCGCATGTGGAACTTCTCTTATTATAAAATAAATGGATACTTTAGTCTTTTTAAGCTCATGAACATGACATTACCAGCTACAACACGCTCCTACCTGTGTATACTTAACGGCTGGACGTTGCATTGGCAGAAAACCTCTCGGATTAGATATGCGTTTTTTTGTTTTGCGTTTCAAGGTCACAATGGGCTTGAAAAAAATACAGATGAGTCTTTTGTAGCTTTTCTGTGAATATTTTCGTGTTGATATAAATTTATTATTTCAAAATATTTCTATGATCAGAAAATATTTGAAGATTAAAAGATGTGAGTTCCTAAAAAATTCAGTACTATCTAAATCTGTGTGCCTTTACAGAAAAATAATTATGAATAACTGTTTATTTTTGACAAAGTTATGCAAACTATGATGTTTCATGATTGGTAAATGTATCCTTTTTAATCGTACTCAATTCACTTCCAGTATTTACTTTTTCCTTTCAGGAATTGGGAAAATTCGATTAATTTAAACTTTATTTGCTATTGCTAAATCTGCAAACAGATAGACATGTGTTCGAACTTTCTTAGAACAGTCGTTTAAATGTTTAAAACCAACAACCCTGGTATTTGAGAATATATTGTACCATTTTGGTTCTCCGTAAATGCGGTTGGGTAAAATATTTTCGCAATTATCGATCTAACAAGTAAATAGTTGCATACTGAAAAAATCTCACAAGACTATATGCGTTTAAAGCTTTTAAACACCAAGTTTAGTGAGGTGAGCATGGCCTTTACCATATATGTGAAGAATAATGGAGAAATGTCGAACGATGATGAAGTGGAGATATATAAAATTTTGCTGTAATACTTTAACATAAAATGCACACAACTACTTTTTGTGGCAGAATTATATAACCTGATGTTTCTTTCAGACAATGCCAATGAAGCTAAAGCTCCTTTGTAGTGGCATGCTCGGCGTCACTTTGTTAAGATTTAGAAACACATTGGGAAAAAAACATTTCTTTGCGTTACAGTTCCTTCGCAGCAAGTGTGTTAAACCGATTACCTTGCTGTCTGCTTGACGCGGAAAAGACTTATGTAAAAAGGGCGCGAAATGACATGGAATTTTATCAGATTAAAAATAGCATCAACTGACGATCATTAGTATAATAAAGTACTAAAAAGACGAATTTAAAAAGCAAACAAGCACTTTCTTCGTGAACTTGATCAAAAGGATATGGAATTAAAAATGTCACTAATCCACCTAACTACGCCGTTCTTCATGTTTCTTTCTCTCGCACTGGAAAACAATCCCTTTCAAAAGCTAGATATTTTTGTTTACCTTTGTCAAATACTCTACTGATTGCAATACCGATCTTGTGACTTTGTTTGCCTAAACTGTTTTGACGTTCCTTTGTTAGGTTGATTTCTTACACTGCTAGAACCATTGACACAGATTCTCAACAATATTTGCTTGTTTCAAAACTCTGATCGTAGTACATGATTGCATATGCTGAATCAGCTGTCAACAAAAGGGTTCTTTTTACCAAATTTGGTGCAGTTATCTCAGTGCATTTCCATTGCATAACCGCTCTTTACTTTGGTCTGCAATTACCACCATGAAATGACCTTTAATCGCCACTGACTGACGACCTAGCACACAAAGTTAATGATGAATGAAAGATGGTTTCGACAGATCAGAACCTATACGTGATGTCTTAAACAAAAAAGTTATGATTTGACTTCGTTCATTTTCATTTGGTAACACGTGATTTCACTGTTTGTAGTTACATTTCTATTACTAGATTCACATTTGCTATCAAGCAATTTACGTTCGATTCTTGTGAAGGCAAAGCTGTGTTACACTGTCATATATTTTCTCGAGTTTAAATAATTCATACTTCATTAGGATCTAGCCAAGCTGACATCTGAATTTTTTCGAAAATTACGAAATAGGAGCCAATCGAAATTCATTGATAATTTTTGGAGCATTGTCGTTATGGTCAGCGCAAAAATTAAATTTTTATGTGCTTCTAGAAACCAATAATGTACTTTTCATGTTATTAATCGTGTTGAGGTAGAACCATCTATCGGTCGTCGAACGCTGTAGCACATCAATTATACGTCCCCGTGCTTGAACGCAACGTGTTGTTGAGTAATCCCTCGTCCCATGGTCGAGGCCTAAAGCATTCAGAGGCTAAATCAAGCACAGTTTCTGATTTGATTCAAGCTCACATAACTATTTACATTAAAATTTGAGTCTGAATATTTTCAAATCCATCAGTGGTACTGTGCATTATTATTTCTATCGTATATGTTCTGTTTAAACGTCGCTGTTTACTCCATTTCTGCATAGTGGCCCAATTATTTAGGACAAGCTGGATAAGACGTAAAGTGGCCCGTAGTGTTGTCGACGTTCTTTGATTCTGTCAAGTCCGGGATTAAATTGCGAGCAGCAAGCGAGCACAGTGGCAAGTGTGAGCGAACACGATTCAATCGATTTTTGTTAATGCACTTCACGCAACTCCGTTCGTTCAGAGATCGATGCTTAGCAGAGCTATATAAACGCGCCTGCCATCCTGGATAAACACACTTTCAGTTAGGCCCTGGTGGTTGTGCACATACACAAAAGTCGATCAAGATAACGACTAAAGAGCACACTAAACATTCGTAACCTACAAATTCATATCCACACATAAAAAATTTACCAAGGCAGAGAAAATACGGTATTCAAATATTGATAAACCATTAATAGTTAAATTAATTGCTCAGTAATTTATGCGGTATCTTAGTTTATAATGTAAAAAATGGTTTAGAATAAAAAATACAGGCGACACAAATAACTTAATTACTTGCTTGATATCTTACGCAGCTTTTCTGGAAATAAATGGAATATTGATGTGTTTAAATGTGCTTGTCTTCAAGGTTTCTATTCAAATAGGTTAGTTGTTTTGTTATTTGCTATGCCGAGGACGAAGTTTTTGTGCGATGTTTTGGACGAGTCATTTTATGAGACTTGTTATCGAGATCGCCGCAATAACGTAAGTATATTAAGGTTATTACGTTAGTTTTCGGGCCTAGGTATATTTTAAACCGAAATTTGTTGTTCACTTGCGTTGTACGGCAACTCGGCTATTGCATTGAATACGCGTTTATCTTTATCAGGCATCGAATCGAGAATTGACAAAGGCACTTCTTAAATCCTCTACCCTTTACGTTGGCAATTTATCCTTCTACACTCGAGAAGAGCAGATATGGGAGCTTTTTAGCAGGGCTGGGGAAGTTCGTCGTGTTATAATGGGCCTCCACAGGCTAGACAAGACGCCTTGTGGATTCTGCTTCGTCGAATATGAAGACCGGGAGGGCGCGGAAATGGCCATGCGTTACATCAACCACTGCCGGCTTGATGACCGAATTATACGAACAGATTGGGATGCCGGTTTTGTTGAGGGTCGTCAATTTGGGCGCGGAAGAAGCGGCGGTCAGGTCAGACATTTTTTTAACTGTTCTTACTTTAATCTTCTGGACTGTTTACTCTGGTTGTTTCTGCTTTGCATCACCCTAGACTGCGAGAATGCCACGCCTTGTATGTGAAGTTTTCCAGTATACGTTGTTTCATTAATAATTTACCTATAAACTGCCAAAAAACCCTGTTTATCAGACTAAATCAGCTTCCCGTTCAACTGTCGCATCGGTCTTCTTTTCTGATTTAGGTTCGCGATGAATTCCGGAAGGATTACGACGCTGATAGGGGCGGATACGGAAAAATTGTACAAAAGGTGTTGCGAGACTGACCGCGCACACTATTGTGGTCGATCTGTAAATAAATGTACTGTTGTTAATCTCAAACCCCTTTCTAACTACCGAAGTTTTCGGCGTACGTGTAAATCTTTCTTCCGACGTTCACACGGGAACCATGTGGTTCTGGGCGGTTAGCAGAACTACTTGATATGGAGTTTATCTTTATTGTTTTTACAAGGACAACAGCAGTAGAGACCCATTCATCCGGCTAATTACAGAATGGATTTTGTCTTTTCACATCCCATTTCACCAAAGCTTGGGTGACGCACGCGGACTCCGATGCCTCGAATGCGCAGTTTGCTGGAATTTCAAAAAAAATGCATTTTTAAACCTCCTAACTTGTGTGTTGGTTTAAGGCGTGTTCCTCTTCCAACGCTTACACTCATCGCGAAATTTCTCGAATTCTTCAATGGTTCTCCATTGGCTAATCGTGCAGTAGTTGGGACGTGTCATTCCAAGCACCTGGCAGATTCGTGGTGTTCCGGCAATGAGGAGTCCATTGTTCTTTGATGCCATTTCAGGGAGTTGGCGAGTGAACTCATTGAAACGTGTGCAGAATCGAACGTCGTAGAAGCTGATTTCGAGGAAACTGTAGTCTGTAGTGATGAAGGCATTTGTCTCAAAAATGTCTACTTAAATTATTTGAGTAACCAGTTTGTGAAACTATGGTGAATGACCCACCATCTACGTATCTTGTGGGGTTGCAGAGGTTAACAAGGAAGACCTCCACGTGTTGAGGAAAAATGGCATTCAAGTGGATGGTTTGGAAGAACTTGGCGGCTTTCTCTTCTCTGTCGAATGACAGAATGATAATTGAGGTGCGATCACTCCAGAAGCCACGCAAAGGCGTTGCAGCCTATATAGAAACAAGTCCCGAAGTAATTAAAAATGTTTGCCTACTTAAAATGTTAGTAGAGCATTTTTTATTAATTGCGAAAGGTTTTTTTCCGAAACCCACCTCACCACAGGTTCCAAAGATTTCGCCACAATAGGATCCAATGAGGGTTCGGTTTTTGAGGAAGAAATTACGGACTTCCGCAACTGGTTGCATTGCACCGTCGATGGTCAATACGGCGAAGCATTGGCAAGTATTCCTGGGAATATCCTTCGTTGCAAAAAAGATGCTTTTTTTGTATAAACGCTTACCTGAAGGAAGACTTCACTAGGTTCATTCTCGCAGTTTACTGCTAAAATAATAATTAGACACCGTAAGGATTTTAGCCTTACAAGTTTTTAAACGCCGCAGTGTGTCATTTGGTGTAAATTTGGAGAACATTTTAACCTGTCACGCGCCAAGGACTTTCGAATACTGCGCCGTTCCGACACGCGCCAAATTTAAATGATCCAAAAATCAATAGCGCCTAAGGTCGCGTGACCTCAGCGTGAGATCTTCAGGATGTGGTAACGTACACTAAAACCAGTCCCTCGTCAATATTACTGGTTATCGATGAAATCTCAAAGCGATTGCGAAGAGCTCAAACGGACCAAAATATTACCTGTTCCGCGTTTGACGATGTTTGAAGGCCAATCGTTGCGCAGGTGAGCCATTTATGAATGCAGGGAACGAACAGGAAAATTATTTCGGTACGTCCCACGATCAGGGTTTTGAAGCAAGCAAATCTAGCTTGAAATTTGTGCGGATGGATCGTACGATTTCGTGTCTAGCAATGTGAGGAATCGTCTGAAAAGTGGAACGTCTAAGAAGTCTAGTGTCATAGATGAAGACGAGTCCTTCCAACAAGATTCAAGTGCTAGATTTCGTGCGTAGCTGCGACCAATCACCTTCGACAATTACGAACCAGTAATAGAAGGTAACGATCGTGTGGATTGGCGTCCTGGACAAGAAAGTATATTAATCTGCGGAATTGAAAAAGGATGGTTGTCCTCTGAAGAGGAACTGAATGGACACTCGACTATAAATATTTGTCTTTACCTTGACTGAATTGCGTACATCCACTACTAATTGTACCGGTGTTATTTGCAGATCCACTTTAAATGTGATTGGTTGACTTGGATTTGACGTGGCGCGGAAATCACCGTTTGCTTAGTCAGGTGCTTGGGAATGCATTCATTGACGCCAGTTGTGCTTTAGGAGGGAATTAAATTTTACACACACACACACACACAAAGCCCAGCTTGCTGACACATTCCATCCCAATCACCATTGAGTCATCCAATCACGTCTTTTGCACGAATTCACCCAATCAGATGTGCGTGAGAAGAAAGCTCCACATCAACCTGTCAATTAATTACTGAATTAATTCTCCAGTCAACACTGTCACTGTGTGACATTAACTGCACACTGTTGCAGTAATTTTTGTGATATCGTCATAAATTGTTCGTCTGACTTTGCAAAATGCTAATTCAATATTCCGCGCAAGAACGCTGGAGTGGATTAAAACAAACGCATCGAAAGGGCGCCAAAATCGATATTCCCACGATGGGTTTGTGTGCGAAGTCAGCATTGAGAAATCACATGAAATGCGTGCAAAGCGAAGTTGATTTTTAAATCCACATTTATTCAAACAGGCAGAAGGTATTCAAGGACGTTGCTCAGATAAACAAAGTCACAAGATCAAAGTCGAAAACAAAAGAGTAGTTGACGAAGGCAAGCGAAGATATCTAGCTTTTGTAAGGGTTTATTTTCCAGTGCGAGAGGAGGAAACTAGGGGGACAGCGTAGTTGGGTGGGAATTCCTCACGAATCATTCGGCGTATTTGCTTCTCCTCGCTTCGAGAAAACGTCTGAAACAGACACCAAGAGCAGGCTGATTGGTGCTTTGCATCAGACCCGCGAATGGCTCAAATATCAAATGATCCAATCAAAGTTCGTTCGTTAGCTCTCGCGCCGTCTTACAGGGGTCTTTGGTGATGAGTGGCACTGCGTGACCTTGAGAATGACGTCAGCGGAAGGTTGTGGATTTGAATGACACACACAAGTGGAGCGAAGTTGTTTTTGCTGCGAAAGCAATTTTATTGCGACAGACAGCCTGGTTTGTAAATGTGAATTTAGCGCACCTGTGCCACTGTAATTTCAACACCCCGTCGTGACAGGTGAAATCGATAAGACCATCTACGAAAAAATGATCGCCTGCGTCACTGCCATTTAGGATTTATTCATTACGGCCTAAAATTGTGCTTTTATTACTAGCTCTTAATCAGTAGTATGATGCGTGTATGAGCCGGTTCCCAGTCCATACTTCCCTCTCATTGGCTGGCTCCGACTGTCCGCCATGATTGGCTAAAATCTACATGTCAATTTAAACGAGCTAACTTACGCTGTGACGTCGTTTAGAAGGCGTTCGTCTGTCACTTCGAGCCTTCTGCCTTCCGCTCTCCCACACTTTCAATTCGTGAGACGGCGTAGATGATCTTTTCTGTTCAAACGCGAATCAAAATTTGATTAATTGAGTTCAGCCTTGATTATGTTTCTTAATCGATGTTAACCTAAGGCCACCGGACTCGCAGGTGATTGGCTCTCTCGCTCTCAAGGTCATGCATCAAATTTAAATTTGTGTTCACTCACCAAATTATCGTCCACAGGAGTTCTTGCCTTTCGGAAGGATTTTTTGCGGGAAACTCTCGAATCTGGTCTGCGTCTGGATCTTGACCTGCCGCATCTGCCGATCACCAGTTCGCCCCTGCCCAAATCAATGCAGAATCCGTGGCGTTTCAGGGTGTCCAGACCCAACACGATGTCGTGGAGCAGTGTTTCGACGACGATCAATGACACCTTAGAAAAGCACCAATGCACTGTGATAAGCTGTCATAAACTACAGCTCAAAAACTCCATTGTACAAGAGATTTTCTCAGCGTGCAAGTAAAATTTGAACTCTGGCGGTAATTATCGATCCGCCACAACCACGATATCAAGTAACAGAACCAATGTTTGGAGACGTGTTTGCGTGACATCTACATCTTCATGAAAAATGCTTTTTAGCAATAAATTAAACATGAGAAATGTCTGCCAAAGTCATTCAAATACATGCACGATTGGATAGCTCATTCGTGACCCTGAACACTGCGAAATCATACTCGTGGTCGCATTGGCGTAGCTGAGTCATTACTAAACCAGTCTTATGTGGCCGTTGTTCCAGTTATACTGCACGATACTTTCTCAATCCTGATAAAATCGTCTGTATAAACATGTCGTTAGCAAAATTACACGACTTTTCAAAAAGTATACCTTTTTTATCCAGTAAAACAAATCATTGATGTTTCCATTTTGGCAAAATGGGAAAAACAGACTAGTTAATCACTCCGAATTCACACTCAGTGAAGTTGAGTGCGAATTTTACAAGTGAATTGCAACAACCCAAGTTAATTGGCATCTTGTAAACCACATTTTAATCAACATTATCTTTGGGACGTGTGGGATCGTGTAGGCAATGTGCGTGCGTGCGTGCGTGTGCGTGTGTGCTGTGGCTACCAAGTGTGATTACACACACACACACGCAGTTGGTGGCATGCCTTGTGACTCGATTCTCCGTAGTTTTTTTACTGCTTTTGGCTTCATTGCTCAGCTATCATGCGATACCCGCGGATCGTAGGGAAAACCGGTAGTTGCCAAATTACGCCGCTAATTGAGTTGTGCTGGCGCACACACACACGCAACCCACTGCTTCACATCGTGATTCAGACAACTTCCTCCAACGGTGGGATCAGCGGTTAATAGGGGACTGGTGGTTGTCTTAGGATAGAGGCAATTTCGCAGACAAACCGTCACCAACCTCAATAGTGACGTCGCCTAGCGTGACATAGCAGAAGTGCAGGTGACCGATGGCTTCGACTCCATTCACGACGATGTCGGTGGAGCGACTGAGGTACTTCATCAGGCCACAGCGTTCCGCGCAGTGCTTACTAATGAGACTGTAAGTAGAGGCCGTATTGAGGTGGATGAACACCGACTGGCCTTGTAGCCGACCCGGAACGACCAGCAGCTCGTTGAAAAAGCGGTCCTCCGCCCTCGAGCCTGGAGCTGACGTGGGTCTCCTGCTTCTACGCTTCTCTTCGGGTCGTCTATTGTGGAAATAGAGTAGAGGGCATCAGTGATGTCATGGGCAGTAGAGAAAAGACATAAATACTAGCTGACCAATCACATTCGGTCCCTTTCATCCAACCAGGACTAAAACATTTTATGCTTACCGAACTGGTGATGGGCCTGCAGGAAGAATTTCAATTGGAGTTTGTCTTTCGTTGGTGTGGCTGAAAAAAACGGTAATTTGGGTAAATAACAATCAAAATTAGATTCTAGTCGAAGATGGCAATGTCAGTTTGACTGACTTGTTCGAATGAGATTTGCTAGTCTCGTTCACCACTGTGACTTAAAGTAGAACCTTAGAGTATGCGTTGGTAAAAGTAGACATGTTTGTGCAAAAAAATCAATAAGTAGACGTTTCTTCGTGGACTTTATGAATACGTCGATGCATCCTATTCACCCAATCTCGGTTAGGCCTGCTGATTCGACTGCATATTTTAAGTGAATTTTCCTGTCTAAATTATTGGATGACCTTTTAAAGCCTTACGTTTGCGAAACCATTCACAATGCGCAACTGAAATTGTTCTTGTGCTCAAATATGTCTGCTTAGTTTTGTGCATGAGCCAGTTTTTAGTCGAAAAAACTTATTGAGCTGAAAGAAAATTGTGGAGCAAAAACGGCAATTTTGTTGGATTCGCAGCATTAATTAACTAGTTTATCATCGCTCATTAAACTTCAAAACAGCGAAAAAGCATTGTTTTACTCTGCGGGAGTAACTGAAGGAATTGGTTTCCTGTAGGAGCTAGATGTTGACGATGAACTTGAAGATCTAAAAGTGAACGAAAATAGTGCTCTGAATATTAGGAACACTAGTGCTCACAAAATGGTTGGCCAAATGCTTGATGTCGAGAAACAGTGACACTCTGACTGTTTAAAAAGATTATTTTTAAATTACCAGGAAAATTGTGGGCAGAACAGCATTGTAAAGAAGGTTTAAAAAGCAAAGTATAATGATGTTTAAATGAGTGTTACAAGTTTTCTTGTATTTGCACTGAAATCTTGAGGATGTGTTATCAATAACAATAATGTTAATAATCACTTTTGATGGAAGTTAACACAATCGATAGTATACTGGTGCATATATTTAGGAAAGCATTTACAGCTTACACAGAATCCGCACGAAAAAACTGGTTCTTCGGTTGGGAACCACCCCTTCGCCTACTCGTGTCTTTTCCTTTATCGTCCTTTATGTGCGAGGCTATCGAAAACAACCGAAATAACGAATAAAACACAGGTTTTGCATGATTTACAATGTTTGACGCAATTACGAGCAGTTATTGTGTGGTTGTGATCGGCAAACGCAAGTGGTGCGGCAATTCCTCTTACCTTTGAGTGTGATAAGAAGATATGAATCTTAAATTACAAAGATTGTACACATTTCATCATGTAGCACAGACATCTCAAAGTTTTGTGCACAATATTATCTTTACTAAGATTATAAACAAATACATTCAGTTGATTTATCTTTACTTACTGCGACCATCGGTGGAAGAATTACGGTCACTGAGACTTTGGTTGCTTCTTGCCCGTTGGCTTGACCTGTTTCTTGAGTTATTACACAAATGACTTGGCTATATTTATTAAAATAATCAGTAACTAATCCATACCCATTCTTGTCCAGGTTTCTGTAGCATATATATTCCACTGCCCTCTGACCGACTGGTTGTAGAACCTCGATGATGATGGTGATGCTTAGGTGGACGAAATTGGCTATGCCGCATTGAATAATTGTATGGATCGTCGCCTCTGCTTATATAACAACTGCATCTCATGGTAAAAACAAGTATTCACAGACCTGCAAACTTAAAGCGACCAGCGAGCAATTTGATTTAGCGCAACTGTTTGTTAGGTGTCAAGGTCATGTAAGAAAATTATCTCTAGTGTATTTTAGATAGCATCACGAATGATTTTTTGCTAACCTATTAAAAATTAAGTGTTTTAGATAATTAATCACTTGTAATTTTTATTACCTGCCAAAAAAAGTATCAGATGTCAGTCATCAAGAGGGGATATTCAATGTCCCAATAGGTTTTCAAGTTGATCCAAGATTGGTCGACTTGTTTGTTTCCTTTAGCTAATACACTTTTCTTAGATCAAGAATATCTCCATTAGCTCATCCCTACACATTGTCTAAGAATTCTGTACATATCTAAAGACAAAGAGCCTTAAATTTCTGCTATTACCGAGTTGGCAGTGTGCATTCAATCGGGCAACCAATTTTTGCCTTTAGTTTTAATATTTGGATTTCATTAAATTTATGTAAAGCAGGCTTCACATTTCTTGATGAATTTAAAGTATCAAACTGCGGTTCTAGCAGTTTAGGATATATTATTTTCAAAATGTTCTAATGGTATGGTTATGCTCTGTCTTCGCATAACAGGTCCCATTTAAATGGTTTCCTCGGCATTCAATGGACTCTCCAGTGCGCTACAAAATCCTCTCGCAAAATTTTAGAAACCTCCCCAATTACATAATTTACATATTTGTGTGGCCACTGAGAAACCCCGCCCATGCCAAAGTACAACATAGTACGAACGGTAGTATAAATAGCGAATCTATTTTGTTTTCATCAAAAAGAAGAAAGAGTAACGGTTAGAATTCACGGTTGGCAGGGCACAGGAGAACTTTACACACACACACACACTAAAACAAGTAAATGTGGAGCGGGATTCTTTGTACACGTGTTCCTGTTACATTGGATGCCGGAAGGGAAGCTGGGGAAATGGAAGTCCCATGGGCAACCTAATGCCACCGTTCTGATGATGACCTGACGCCGGCAATTGACTCGCAGCACTCGCATCAGTGACCACTCGGCGGCGCTTAAGAGCCAGAATCGCTTCCGCCTCCTGTTGCTGATGTTGTTGTTGTTGTTGGTGGTGGTGATGATGATGATGAAGGAAGTATTTGGTAGCGCCGTCGGTAGGACGAAGAAAGTCGTGCTGCAGCGGTTTCCGAGCCTGTGGAAGCTGCAACCCAACATGCGGCGAGGGCGATCGGGTCAGATCAATCGCGATGGGATGGTGGGGGGAGGCCTGCACCGCACTGGTACCGCCACCACCACCACCTCCAACGCCGATGGGGAACGCCGTCTGCAGAATGTGCTCGTAGTTTGAAAACCTCGACAGGTGCGGCGGCATCGGATGCAGACCTGGCCGATCCCGGGGCTTTGGTCGGGGGAGATTTCGGCCAGCTGAGGCGTACCACCAGGGATCGGAGGGGTTCACCGGTTTGAGACCGTGTGCTTTATCCATCAAGATGTGAAAGCATATTCGAAGGTGGGCAGTCGCACCGCTGCAAGAGGGCTAGAAGCAGAAAACACAAAACCTGGTGACAGACCCGACAAAGAAAGAGACTTCGAAAATCGAATTGGCTACAACTTACCACGCCTTCGATGCGGAAGAGATCACAGAACCGAGGCAACGGTGCTACCAGCGAGTGTGCTCGTCGGTGGATGTGCGCCTGCTGGTGGTGCTGTTGTTGGACGGGAGGTACAACTGCCACCGGGGATCGCTGGTGAGCCCAGAAGTTGGGAAAGCCGAACAGCGCATGGGGTTGTGTGGCCACGTGTCGCTTCCCACTCCGACCTGTCTGCGGGGTGGTGGAGGAGGAAGAGGAGGCGGCGAGACACGAGGACGGCGACGTGAGGTCGACAGCATCGACCACGGGCGGTTTTCGAGCAGTTGGCGCGGACAGATTTGCGGAGGGTGGCGGAGGCTGAAGCGCGGAACAAGACATCAAAAAATACCACGATTGAATAGTCAACACAAGGAAGCGCTGCGATGTCTGGCGCACTCACTGTGAGATACGGAAAGCCTGGCGGGGCGGGATGCAGACGCGGATGCTGGCCCCAAAACGTCGGTTGGTGTGGCGGAGCCACGAGGAAGGGATGCGGCGGCGGAGGCTGCGGAGCAGCGCCAGAAACTGAGGGCGGAGGTGCGGAGAGGAAATGCGCTGACATCAACTGTTGATGCATCGCAGACGGATGCGATGGAAAGCCTGCTGTGTGTGTGTGTGTGTGTGTGGGAAGAAGTGCAAATTAGGAGGTGAGCAAGAGAGGGTGGGGGTGAGGTAGGGTGGGGGAGTTGACGTACCCGGATTCGCTGGCGCCTGCATTCCCGCGGCGATCGCAGCAGCCATGGCAGACGAATGAAACAGCGCCGGAGAGGGTGTCAGTGGCGGCGGTGGGGCTACCGGGTGACCGGAGGGGGCGGTGGTGGAGGAAGAAGAGGGCGTAATCGCCGCCAGGGAGGGGGCCGGGGTCATAAACGTGGGATGTGACAATTGTAGGGGCGGCGGCGGCGGCGGTGGTGGTGGTAGCATCTTGGTCGAGGACGCATCTGCTGGCAACAGATACGACGACATCGTCGCAGAACCGATGGAATTGTGCTGTGACGCGTGGGTGCTACGCAAATGGACGAACGAAGAGGAGGTTAATAATCGCGAGGCATTTAGACTTCAAACCAACTGCCTCGGCGTACTTGGCGAAAGACTGAGATGTGGAGGCGAGCATAGCGGCCTGCGCTGCGGCCAGAGCAGCAAGACGCTGGTGGTCTTGGTGTTGTTGGTAGAAAGCCATGATCTGTGGAAAGAGCAGAGCCACACACGGCAGTCGCGAGACCTGTTCAGCGAAGACGGGGTCCGTGAAAAGGAGGTGCGCTAGCTGACGAACCTCCTCCTCGTCACAGATGGCACCGCCCGAAGACAGGCGTTCCAGCCACAGTGTGGGCGCGTGGCCGACGCCACAACCATTCTGCGCCGACGGCGCTTTCGGTGGTGGCGAGGAGGGTTTTGAGGTCACCGTTGAGGCGTCTTCGACGGCTGTCAAAGCGGCGATGCTGAATCGATTTTTGTTTGTCGTCGAGGGAGATTCAACTGATTTGGCTTCGGACGTCGATGCAGGGCGTGGGAATGTTTTGCTGGCAGAGGGCTAACAGACACGACAAAAGATTTGATGAACGGCGTGGAATACTAGAGACAAGTAGACGCATCAAATAACTCACAAATACGCCTGATAGGGGCGACTTGACGGCCAAATCGCCATTGGGAATTTGAGGACCGTTCTCCACAACCGGGGCCGCCGCCGTCACCTCCTTCTCCTCCGCCTTCTTCTTCACCCCGTCCTCCTTCGCTTGAGGCGGCCCAGCGTCGTCGGTGTTGTCGCCGTCATCTACGAGCTTCACCGCGAACGGGTCGAGACTCATCGTGGTTGTGGTGGAGGCGTTATTGTTGCTGTTTCTGTTGGTCGCGGTGGTGTCGACGTGGAGAGGTTGCAACACCGAAGACGACGACGAGGCAGACGAGCGACCATTGATCGACTTGGCGTCATTCAGCGGCCCATTCACCGTGTCACCACAATTTGTTAAGCTGTTGCTATCGGCCGTGGTGGTGGTGGTGGCGGTGGTATTAGTGACAGTAGGAAGCTACAAGAGTAAAATAACATTCGAAATGCATGAGATATTTAAATGCTAGTGAGTAGTAAAGCTAGTTTAGATTATATACCCCTGGGTGGTCAGGAATTATCACCGCCGAACTCAGATGGAGTCCCCAGTGTGCTATCGTAAGATGGAGACAATTTATCTTGGTGGCGAATTCCAAGACAAACGCGCTGTGGGAGTTTGACGTGACATGATTGGGTAGTTTACAAATGTGATAATGAATGGAGCAGCGTGATTGGACGGTTTACAAATGACATCATAACTAACCCCACGACGCCCCCTCGCTTACCAACATGTTCCCGCAAGCGTTTGACACACGTGGAAGCCTGTGCGGAAGTAGCCTGACGCGCTCACGTCAACACGCAACATCAACAACGACAAGAACAACACGAGCTACTCACCAGACTGGGCTTCTTGCTCCTCCCGACGGACTGTCGGACACTTCGACGCTGACGGCCGCCGACGCCAGAACGGGAGCTCGTTCGACGACTCGGCTTTTCCGGGGTTTTCCGCGTTAGCCGTGCGTAGAGCTGAAATGCGAGCGAGACAGGCTTTTCTATACTTATGCGTCAAAACGGCACACCGGTTTGCGCGCGCGCCCGCGGTTTCCAGTGGACACGCCGTTGGATGACGCAAGCAGAAGAAACAACGTGTGGGGAAGGGGAGGGGTGGGTGAATAAAAAAATGAGCCAGATAGGAGGAACGAGGTTCTTGTGTGTTTGTTTGTTTTTTATTTTAATTACTCGAGAAGACAGCTCTGAGCAGCAAAATGTGTGTTTTGTACACTTTAAGCAGCCTTCAATGTGATCACTGCTAGTTCAGTCGGCAAATTGTAAGCAGTCATCAGTGAGAATTGTGATGGCGTGACCGCAGACCGTGAATACAACGCCACAAGACCCTCGACAGAGCAAAGAATGAGCGTCTAGCCACTGGGGCATGAGAGCTGGCAAATTTTGCCACGAAGTTCCAAATTAACCGGGCGTCAGTAGGGTGTAGGTGGGTAGGTAGGTGGTGCCAATCTCCCTCCTGCCTCCCTCCAAATTAACGCGAGAATTAGGAGAGGAGGGTTACAGAAAAAAACGAGAGTTCATGAGGCGTAAACTTGGGCGGTGACCTTGGCGCCGTTAATTCGCCTTATCTGATCACAGGCTCCTCTCATTGGTAATTGGCTGCTTTGCTAACTCCCTCGAAAAGAGTTATTAGTTGAGAAATATAGCTGTTTCAACGCGGACAAGGAGTTGACAGGGGCAAGGTAGTTTAGGCGTGTTTTGGAGAAAACTGGGTGCGTCGGTTCTATCGGATTGCACCTGCGAATTGGTTTCAACATGCCACTGACACGGAAGTGATGCTCTAGTCCTCGAACCAGGTGTCAATCAGACAACGCGGGGTGAGAGGGAAACGGTGAGTGAGGCGTATGCTCTCCAACCAATGGAAACCGCGTTATAACCACCAAGTTAACCCCAGGAGATACGCATGAGGTGATCGTGTGATTGCCATCTAACACCTCGTAGTGGAGTGCGACACGATCCTGTCTGGATGATGTCCTCCTCTTGGTTGTGGAGGTTCAACACAATGGCAGAGCACACACTTTTGACGCTGTTTCGAATTCTTCGGAGACAGGTTATACAAGATCTACTCTCACATTTTCCTTATCACGGCTGTAGCGTCGTGAAAATCAGGACGGTGTTAAGGGTATGAGAGGTTTGGTTACAAGCACGGCGCAAGCAAACGAGCACAACCACACGAACCCACGACGGTTTGAGGAGGATGAGGAGGATGTGGTGGAGGAGGAGGAGGAGCAGGATGTGGAGGAGGAGGAGGATGTGGTGGAGGAGGAGGATGTGGCGGAGGAGGAGCAGGATGTGGAGGAGGATGAGGAGGATGTGGTGGAGGAGGAGAAGGAATAAACAACCAACGGCATTTTGTAGACGCGCGTGTCCGATAAGCGCATCCGGAGGGGGTTTATTCTGATTGAACTTACACACACATAAACACACCGCAAAAAGTGCTTCTCTGGGTGGGCGAAAGAGCACTCTCGCGGTGCATGCTTGCACTTGGAACCAAATCAGCACAAATGTCTACGGGCTAGAGCTGCGCGTCGGATAAACTCGACATTTCGGCGTTAAATTTATTCGGAATTCCATCAGGAATGCCACAACAACCGCACCTCCACTCCCCCCCCCACCCCCGGCAGAGACGCGTGAAGCAGAGGCGAAGGGTCGGTTATCTATTTGCCACACAGATGTTTACACACACACACACACACACACACACTCCGAACGATACATTTTACAAGTAGCAACCACACACATTTTTGTGGTAGTTGGTTTGATTCACACTGAAGACACAGAGGCATGTGTTTTTTGTAACCTGGCTGTGCGCGCGCACACACACACACGCAGAACTTGTCGTCGGAATCTTCAAAGCCGCCTCCAAAGGTGGGTGGGTGGGAGGGTGGGGGGAGCGACTTTAGGGGACAAATTGGGTGGCCGCACACACACACACGGCAAAAATAAGACGCGTGCGCGTGTGCGTGCGGGCATAGAGGAAGCGAACGCGGGGCAATGATGGCGCGTCATGTCACCCACCACCCTCCCTCCCTCCCAAGGACCTTCACCCACCACTACCACCGATAATACAATGCACGCTCATGACGAAATGGGAGATTAGAGGTTCGTGGCTGTTGTCAAACCGGTTGGCGAAAAACCCCCCACGCCAAGGTCACGGGAAACAACTCTGGCATTGTGCAAGCTCGTTGTCATTGAAGCAAGACGGCGCGTCAAGCAGATTCCTTCACGTACAACGACGATGTTGAGGAACGGTTCATTCTTGGAGGTTTAACGACTGCTGCAGACTAGGTTTCCGTGTTGATGTCGTGCGTGATGCGGATCTAGGTGTTGAATAGACCTCAGCACACTGCTTCACTGGCAAGCCAGGTGAAGAGCGGCGAATGCAGGAACCACGTGGCTGGTGCAGGTTGACACGTTCCGACACACACACAGCAGCAACAGCACAAGTTGTGACTCGTGTGAGACGAATTCAAGTGGCACCTGCCAGTAATTCACACACACACACGCATCACAAGATCGCAAAATGCACCTCAGGTGACGCCTCAATTAAACAATGATTGCCAGATCATGCTGAAAAGAAAAAGACAGATGAGTTGAAACCCCGGGGCGAAGAATGATGCGGCGATAAGGCGACGCAGGTTTTTTTCGAGACAGACAAGTACAAGAAGGAGGAGGGGAATTGGACGCGGACACGGCGCTGACTCATGCGTGAAACGGACAAGGGGGTTAGTACGCACACGCACAACACAGGCGGAAATGCCTTCGTGAATTGGAGCGCTGCGAGTCGCATCGTTTCGGGTGATACATTCCCGCTTCTTTTTTTGCAAACAAACTAGTTGGAGGCTAGGCGTGAGACCTAGTCTGTGCGGATCGTTTTCTTCACAACACCAGACAACGAGTCCGCGTCAGTTATACCACCTCTCAGAGCAGCGGAGTTTACGATGGCAACCGACAAACAGCACGTTTGACGGCAATGCATTCCGCACCATTTCCAACACGGTAATCAATCTGCAGTATTCCAGGTGCCGAAGTTGCGTCTAGTGGAACACGCAGCAGCCACGAAAAAGTTTGCGCAAGCTCTAATGAGTGAAGACTCAACACAAACGCATCTAGATGTTGCAGCTCTGTTTGGGGTCATCCAAATGCCTGTTTTTCCAAGCGGTTGTCCTTTGGCAACAAGCAGTGAAGGAACCGCTTGTGGAAAATTGTGACGGCTGATGAAAAGCATGGTTTTGTTGTGAGAATCCCAAACGCGTGAAGGAAGCGTCTTATTACGAACGGTGACTGCGCAACGCCACAGCCGACAACTGAGCGGAGAGACCAGAGATCAGAAAGGTTCATTCACTGGGCAACGAAGCAAGCACATCGCACTGCTGCCGCATGATAATGCTCCACCACCTCAGGCAGGTCGCGCGCGCGACTCGGAAGACCCTCTTGAACTTGGGATGGGAGGTTCCCCTACAACGAGCGGCAATTTCATCAGACTTGGCCCCCTTCCGACTAAAATTTGTCCCGGTCAATGCAGCGGCAGCAAAACGCTGGACGAGGCTTGCAAGTTTCTCTCGCGACTGCACTTGTACGCTACCTGCGAGATGGCACGAGGTCCTAGAAAACGATGTACCTCGTATTTCCAAGAGGACACTCTTTTCCGCCTATTTTATTTAAAGCAGAGAACAGTACAGATAAACGATCAGTGTTTACGAGGACATTGAGCCACTCGAATTTGCCGAAAAATGCACTTTGAAAAGTGTGCGAATGAACGAATGGGCACACACGCACACACACACACGATGATGCACCGAAACCTAGTATCGGCCGGTTTCGCGGGAACTCGAAGCACACTCCAGTTGAATGGATAACTGAGAGCCGACGACAAAGAGAGAGAGAGAAACATGTTTTCGCGCTCTGCTGGCCGCCGTCTGGGTCTTTTTTCCCGCTTTCCTCCACTACTACAAATCACCGGTCTAGTTATGAGACACAACGGGGAAAACGAGCGTGTTTTATGGTCCTGGAAGGGCTGAAATGTGGTGGTGGTGGTGGTGGTGGTGGTGGTGGTGGTGGTGGTGGTGGTGGTGGTGGTGGTGGTGGTGG